GGGGGGGGGCGGGGATAGTGGCAGTCAGCTGAGTTTCTATACCAGCATTTGTCAGCCAGGTCCTTGGAACCCCAGAAAGCCCACATTTTTGCTCCCACCCAGCTCCTGAGGGGGCATGGAGGGGAAGCAAAAATGTGGACTGTCTGGGGGTCCCCGAAGACTGGGTTGAGAAACACTGTTGTAAACCATCTCATCAATTTCATACTGCATGGAGCTAAACGCAATCCGTCACAATAGTGTAACTCAAATGATAAATTAAAAGGAAAATGAAATGCTTTATTTTTTTTCCATTTGCACAAGTATGAATTTACTGAAATGCTTTGGTTGTCATATCCCATGATGCGCTCCTCAAAAAACACACACATAAATGTACAGTTGCGCGCAGGGTTAGCCATCTATCTGGCATAACTGAAACCTTTCAGGTGGTTTGGGGCCTTGCTCAAGGACCCAATGGAGATGTAACTAGTCTGCAGAGGATGGGATTCGAACCATCCACCTTCCGATCACAAGCACAAATGCCTTCCCTATTCAGCCACAAACCATCCCCCAAATCTAACCCGTCAACTTGACCACAACGCATTTTCTGACCCCGTTACACAACTGAAAAACAAACACGGAGACCCCCACCAGCAGCCTCACCTGCTGTGCTGGGGCTGGGAAGCGGCGCTAGGGGCCAGATCCTCGCCGTGTCCCAGGCTGCCCAGTGACGTCTGGTTGGGTGTCGCCAGCAAGGAGACAGGAACCGTGGTACCGTCAGTCAGAGAGGCCATGCTGGATACGGAGACGGTGCCCTCTGCTTCAGAGGCAGGCTTTGTTGGTACCGCAGCACCTGAAACAGCTGAGGGTGCCAGAGAGAGACATTTCGCGACCATGTCTGCAAATTTGTTTTCCCTTGTTATCCCAGTACGATTCTTGAGAACCCACAGATAATCCACATTTTTGCTCCCTCCTAGCTCCCTGAGCAAAAACGTGGAGTGCCTGCAGGTCCCCGATGAGCAAACAGGGAAACACTGCTTCGTAGGTAGTCAAAGCTAGCAAACAGGGAAACACTGCTTCGTAGGTAATCAAAGCTAGCAAACAGTGAAACACTGCTTCGTAGGTAGTCAAAGCTAGCAAACAGGGGCTTTACCAAAGCTGGTCATAAAAATAGTATCTCACTCACCTTCCATGGACTGTGTCGTCTGTATTGAACTGAATCCATTCTGTAAAACACAACAGGCAGTTGGTCCAGCAGGGACAGTACACACACGCACATTAAAACTGCTGCACTGCATTGCTTCATTGTGGTCAGCAAATGCAAAACAAAATTTAATTTAACAGATATTTTAATGCAAAGAGCAACTAATACGGAAGTTAAAAAATAAAAAATCCATATCGATTTAAAATGTCATAAACAGCTGGGGGGGGGGGGGCAAAGATTAAATACATTACTGAAACCAGGTAATCAAAAACCAGATTAGACAGGACAGTCAGGAATGCCTTGTGGTCTTGCAGGTCAGTGATATGACTGAGCATTTGTTGCCATCTTGAATAAAAGTCAGGCTTTTAAAATAGGCTTAACATCATATTATAAGCAGAGAAAGAATCAGAGTTAAAACAAACTTTCCCCCATTCATTTTGAAAACTAGACATCAAGCTAATGCAGATAATGCTCATTTTCCACCACGCTTCATGGGCCTTTTGCTACTTTCACTACTGAGGAGCCATTCAGTAAGTCATACATTAAGGCAAACGCCACTATCGGTGTTCAGGCTGACTGCCATGATTCTAAGCGGCCATGCATTCCCATCCCTTTTAGTATAGCTCCCCCTAGTGGAGGACAAGTCCACTACTTGACTTGTATGCTGTCCTATATTAAAAGAGCCATAAAAAAAGTCAATTTAATCATATGGGAAAAAAAATCCCTTATTGACTACAGAGGGAACAGGAAGGTGGGGGACAGAAAGGGGGGGACACCTGGCAGTGCTATGGAAGCAGATGGGTGGCAGAATCAGGACAGAGATCCCTGATCTCAGAGGCAAAGGGCGGCCCAAAATAAAACCTGACTGAAAAGGGTGGCAAATTTCAAATCTGGCAGAATGATGGGGAGAAAAGGGGGGGGGGGCATTAAGCTTGGACCTACTTAAGGAAACCTAACCTAACCAAAAATGAGTACTATGGGAGTAAAATGGCAACCAGACTAACCCAGGCTAACCAGCATTGGTAGGGCCCTAGAGAAACGGGCTTTCGTGCCCCCCCCCCCCCATCGCTACGATGAGGTCACCACAGGCGAGTCGGCAGCTCCGTAGCTGGGGTTCGCTCCTCCGAGGCCGGGAAACAGAATAAATTCCTCCTGTACTCACACAATGGATTCCCAAAGCATCTCCACTCAGACCACTGCTGCTCCACTGATTTAAGATAACATTTTGGGGGGTGGGGGGTTGGGGGTAGAAACAAAACAAAAAGAATAAAACGCCTAGATATTTATAGGTCAGAGTTGCCAACTAGTTCTGTTGTCACACATGTCTGACAGAATGAATGAGTTGGTTGGGAGACAGCAACAGCAGATTGGCAAGGTAAGAAATGGAAGATGGGGGGGGGGGGGGGGGGAGGGGCTCAGTACATGGGCTAAGTCCTTGTGCCGGAAGAGGAAGAACAGGAGGATACAGGATGGACACCAAGAGACAGAGCAGCGCAGTTCAGTGAGCTGCAAGGCACGGCAGTCTAAGCAGCTTGGAGACTCACTCCGCCACTGCTGAAGGAGCAGAGGCGCTACAGTATTCTACAGAGTCGCCACTAGAGGGCAGCAGAGACCTCAGACCTTAAGGTCGCAGGTCTACTGATGAACTTTAGTCACAGAACAGATGACATGTATGTCACGCGGGCTTTAGGCCGCTGCTCTGTCGTCAAGGGAGATGAAGCTGAGCACGGCGTCACGCAGGGAAGGGCTGCACCTAGCGGACACATGGGGTGTGGTGCTACCCACCTTGCCGGGCTGGACGTCCTTCTGCGGAGATGTGGAGACGGAGGGCGGGTACCGGCGGGTCTGTGTGGACCTCTGCTCGTAGAGCGCGGGCTGGCCTGGTCCGGCTGCCGTTACCGTCTGGGAGGGATACGAGGGAGCGCTGCCGGGGAGAGAGCCGCCCTGGTACCCCTGGTCTGGACTGGGGAGGGCCGGGGCAGGCTCACTGGGGGGGTGAGGAGGGGGAAAAGGAAGGAAAGCAAGAAACTCACATTCAGGGAAGGTGGCCAGAACAGCCAAACACAAACAGACAGACATTTGGGGCATCATGAAAAGTAGAAACAGTCACATGACCTAAAGAAAGAGCTCAAATAAAAGCAAATACAACTAACTACGTGCTGTCAGCATAACAACCATGTATTCCCCAGACAGCCCCATCAACTCCCCACCCCCATCTAACCCCTACTGCCCCCACACCCCCAAATGAGAGTGACTTGTCTCAGTGTAATCAGGTCCACCAGATATGTGTCTGTGGCTGTCCTTCCGTGCGTCACCACTAAGTGACCCTGCCTCTGTTTTGGTGCAATTTGTCTCCAAAGCCCCAGATATACAATGTTCCAGGGAAGTTTGAAAAAAAATCCATGTGATACTTTTAGAGTTACTGCACACAAGATTAAGTGTCTTCTGTAACCATCCTTTCCTAGTGCTACTGGTTCAATTTTGGTGCGATTTGTCTAGAAATCAGGTCTACACCATCATTTTATTTTCATTTGGACGATCTTATATGCCTATACTGCTCCCAAAACAATATCTATTCCATTTGAGAAATACAACCATGCAAGTCATCAGTTATGGATGACCACCTCGCTCCTCACAAACAAGCAGGAGGTTTAAAGGGAGGATGACAAAGGCAAGGTAACCCCCCCATCACCTACCTGCTCGCACTGGTGTATAGGCTGCTTGGGGCCTGACTGACAGAAGCGCTCGTTGCTGGGGCAGAATCGTACTCGGACAGCACTGGTTCGGACCCAAACTGCAATGCCCCGAACTGCAGGTTCAACCCGGAGATGTCTGCAGAGCCTGGCATCTCCACTGCGAGAGACGGGATCTAGGGGGGGGGGGGAAGCAAGTTCTGTCACTGCTGCCACCATGTAGCTACAGGGCACCTTAAACCTGGACAGAAAGGAGAGCTACAGGGAAAAAGTTCTATGAGGTAATGTTGGGATGGAGGTACACTTACATTAAACCTTTTACACACACACACACACAAACACACACTCTCCATAGAACAACAGAGGCCCTAAGATAAACAATGGTGGAATAAACAAAAAGGCTACCAAAGTGCACGAATGCATGGGAACTGACATGTATTGCGCAATATTACTTTATTTGTAGTTTACTGATCACGGCTGCACGTTTTCACGATGTGCGCATGTGACGTACAAACTATTTGTCTGTTCACAACTCATGGTTACACCACACACTTATTTGACACAACCTACAGGTAGACACAGCCAAACGGAATTTATTTTGGGTAATTTCATCTCTATATTTCAGTTCATAAATATCGCAGTATCACTTGAGGATACTTCACACCTTGCGATGGGATTTCCTGCAGCCCTAATAGTGGTGGTATTTTACAATTGTGCCGAGTACTTGGAGACACAGCTTATGAGAGCTTTTGCTGTGCATGGATAAAACACCCAGACGTGGGAATCGGACAGGTCCTAAAGGTGACTGACGAGAGAGCAGCCATGGTTCCAGGTTCCAGGTCCATCTCGGTGCCGAGCGGGAGGCTGCCCTGGTACCTTGGTGCTGATGGAGGTCCTCTTCTTCTGCTGCTTCAACTTATGCTGCTGCAGGGGCTGGGGGCTGGACGAGTGGTTGTCGGAGGAGCCGGGGGACATCTGAGGGCCGGTGCCTGTGGCAAGGGGCTTGGAGAGGGGCGACGGAGGGGGTGCCGCGGGGCTGGAAGCCACCGGCGGATGCAGGGTGGAGGACACTGAAGAGGGGGGCACTTTGTCTTGGAGGAAGGCATCCATAATGGAGGAGGCGGCGGAAGGGGCCGGCTGAAAGGGCTGCCGCTTTTGGAACGGGGCATGAACGGAAGCTTCCGGCTGAGGCTTCATGTCTGGAAACAGGAAGCGGTTGGGATCAAACACTCCACCCGAAATGAACCCAGTAGAGTGAAAGCTGCTGCGAACCTCACCGTACTGTCCGAGGGAGCTGGGGCTGGTGTCCCAGGCGGAGGAGGGCACACTGGCCGGCCCCGCCTGGCTGTGCTGGGCAGCCAGCTGCGCGAGCGCCTGGGCCGTCTTGAACTGCTCCAGGAACTGCGAACCACTGGTAGAGCTGCTGGTTCCTGCCTTGGGATCCACCACGTCGCCAAAGCTCTTGCTCAACATGTTGGCCTGCATGACGAGAACAAGGGGGGGGGGGATCATTAAACCCAGCTCTCGAGGTCTGAGACAACATGCCCACACCTACCCCCAAAAGCCCCCAAAAGAGCGGGAGAGAACGGGACGGGGGCACGAGGTGAGTTTTGCTTGGCTTCATGTTTAATGATTTGCTTTATTTGGAGGGAGTGCTAGTGGGGGGCTGGGAATACTAACCATGCTGTGCTGGCTATAGGGGGCGCTAGTGGGGGGCTGTGACCCCGTTCCACCCTGCTTGGAGTTGCTGAAGACCAGTGCCTGGGACAGGGAAGGGGGCTGAGATGCCTCCAGGGGGGCCAGTTCTGGCTCAGATGTCGAGGGAGGAGTCTTCCCCAGCAACACTGCCAGGTCAATCCTGTAGGGGGCAGCACCACAAATTTAAAAAAAAAACAACAACAACAACAACAACAGCACTAAGGTATCTCTGCACAAACATGGAGGCAGTCTGATAGAGCAACCACATAAGAATTTAACTATAATCATCACGGGAAATTAACAATGACCTACCTCTGCCCAGCAGTGATGGTGACGTTCTCCTGGGGCACGGACATGGCTGCAACACTCGAGGCCGTGAAGATCTTGGTCTCTGACAGCTTGGAGCAGACATCAGATCAAAGTGAGTAACAAGTACCATCCCAAACACAGAACGAAGCAGAGCATGGTGACATTAACATGTTTTTTTTTTTTAAACCAGCTGTCAGGCTGCCAACTGCGCTTGAACATTAAAATCACTGGAGATATTTACTTTTCCAAAACAATAGTTAGCAGATGCTTTTATCCAAAGCAATGTACAACTAAAAAGCAGGACTAGCTTGTTCCTGGAGAAATTGGGGGGCTTCTCATGGAGCCAACAGTCTTAAACCAGAGTCACACAGCACTCCCCGCTGGGGAATACCCAAAAACCCCTAGTTTTATTTACTTTTGACGACATCACACCCTATCAGACACCCATCAGCGTGACACGCCTGGGTACCTACATCCTCATTCCAGTCCTCTGTCCCCCACTCCTCAGGTGCCGTCCTCCATGCTCCTGGAGACAGAACAAAGCGACCCCATTAAACCAGAACCCAACCCCCCCAAACTGGCTGTGTGGCATGCTGCCATCCCCTCTGTCGTCATCTAAACTCCACACAGGCAGGCTTGGACAGACCAAAATGAACGAGATAATCGAGATTCATTAAAAAAAAGAACTTTTGCAGAAAGAGTCAAATAAAAATGAATAATCATACCAGGAGCAGAGTCAAATTTTCCAGGATAATTTGTTCCCTCGACGCCGGAGAACTCCAGCCCTGCAGAGAGAGGAGTATGAGATCAGCACACACACTGTCCCACGGGGTCGCTCGGATAACAGGCGAGGCCTCCCCAGCCGCATGTGAACCGCAGGGCAATGCAGGCACGCCGTGACGGACACAGATGCCGAAACTGATGCCGGTACCCATCGCCTGAAGCGCAGGGGTGTGTTCTGGCAGCCTGACCTACGCGGTCAGTCACTCATACGGGGCAAAGCAGCACAAGAGCAGCAGGGAGGCAAAGGGGTTTCTGAGAAGCAACCCTCACCCAGGTGGGAACAATATGGATGCTTTCAGAAGCTTTAACAGCTATTCATTTGACTATGGCAACACCTCCTAGTGGCAAAGTGAAGTAATGGATCTCACACACACACACACACACAACTCTTACACTCATATTATTGTGGGGAGTCAATTCATTCCAGCGGTCAAAACACAAATCCTAAATATGACAACCCTAACCCTCAGACCAAGCCCCACCCTTAACTATAAGTAACCAAAGAAAATACAAGACTTTTGGCATTTTTATTTCTTTGATTGCATATTTATAAAATTGAAAAATGTCCCCGCAAAACATTTGGTCCCTACCATATGGTAGATTCAAAGCCACACACAGACACACAGACACACACACACACACACACACACACACACACACACACACAGGTCAAAGGACACTGACTGGCACTGTCGTCGGGCTCCAGGCTGCCGGTGTTGTTCCAGGTGCTGCCACCAGCATAGCTCTCCTCAGCCTGGACCGGCTCGGCGTAGTCGGCGGGGTTAAAGGTCCTGGTGGGGAGAGAGACAATGAAATGGGTCCGGTTAGTCTCAAGGTGACTCACAGAGGGCGCCGCTCTGCCTGTAACAGGACACTATTGGGTTACACTTAACGTTCAATTCACAAGAAAAATGCCAACGTGAGCCACCACCAAACCCGCGGCCTTTTTCTCGTGCCATGACTGCTGGCAGCTGGGCTTCTACAGCACATACATCGCCTCACTCACAGTGACAACGAGAATAACCCCCCCCCCAATCTGACCTGCCTTTTAACAGACAAGGGAGTACTTTTCAGCGAGCACCAAACCTGACGTCAATCGCTGGGAACACTGTGCATTACGACGGTATCCTAAAGCCAAAATGTCACCTGAAGCCACCTGGACGCGTGACAAACTCTACACTTTCATTTATCCTGCCGGTTGGACCCCCGTTTCCCTCCTCTGGTCCCTCCCCCAAGCTCCTAATCGCTAACGCAAAACAGACACCGCCCCCTCCCCCCCCCTTCCAAACTATTAAACTTGACAAACGGGGCGAAGCACCACTCACCTCTCATCTCCCGAAAAATCAAATCCTGCCCCCTTATCAATCTGGCTTTAGAGGAGAAAGACAACAGCAAACGTTACAGCGGCCCAAAATGGAGGAGGGCGGAGGCGGAGCGTGCGCGAGGCGGCACCGGCAGGGGGGAGAAAGAGGGCATCAAACCGACGCACATGCCGGGACCCCTGCGCCACCGTGCACACGCAGGCAGCACAAACGGAAGGCGATGCTCGTCCAGGGGTTCTGCACTACACAACATCTTCATTTACATTCAGTTAGAAAGCGGTGGGTAAATCCAGTCAACGGCGCTTCTTTATGCGTGTTAGTAAAACTGCATCCATCTTAAATAAATACTGGGTTAAATTTAGTGCAAGAGGGACTACATAGAACATTTAAAGCAGGGCAGCTTAGGGGAAACCTCTCCTATTAGTGCAATATTTTCTGCGGAGTCCGTTCCAAATGAAAAAAGTTCAGACAAATTCAGTTAAAGTTTTATGCGATAGGTCCTCACATAGCATGTGGTTGTTTGGAGAAACTGATCACAGAAGAAGAAGAAGAAGAAGAAGAAGAAAAAAAGCATTGTAGATTCGGAGGGGCTGGCAGGGCACACGCATGCAGAAGTGATACCAAATGCAGGTTTGGCTCACGCACGACTGTACGAAAAAGCCCATTGAGAAACACGACACACGTCCAGCGGGGGCCGCCTGTGCAGCAAAACACGCTCAGAGGTTTGTGCATCACAAAACCACCACAAAAAAAATAACACACACCAAACGCCCTTTTGTAATAACGGACAACACTGCAAACCCAACCTACTCAACCAACACCACTCATCTTAAGAGAAATTTTGAGTCGCTTGTCAGGTAAACCAATCAAAAGAATCCACTGCAATTAACATCAGTTTAAATTTGCTGCACGTTTCACTAGAAGTAACCTGAAGATTCACCATTATCTTTGGTGGTATTTTGCCTTGAAGAAAAGTAAGGATATTATACAGTCAGTTTCAATGCTCAAACGAAAAAACAAATCAATTTATCCTTCTGAACAAAAGTTTGTTTCCCGGTAAATAAAGAGCGAACATACTTTACCAAATCCAAACCACATCATTGGCTGCATTTCAGGAATCCCACACAAAACTGAGTGCTCTTAACTGCCTAGATTCGCCCGCACTCTGTAAAATGTCTGTAAAATCCGCTTTCGAAGAAATTAAAGAATCAAGCGTGAAGTAGGAGTTTGTGTTCCAAGCAGTCAGTGAAATCCACTTTTCGCCAGACCCCTGCCATCCTACCGTTTCAAGCACATGGTCTAAGGAAATCCAAAGAATGCGGCCAAGAATCCAGATGTATCAGGCAGCAATGAAAGACTGCTGCTCAAGATATGCAATAGCTACATGCATAAACACACTGACAAATGCAAACACACACACACACACAAAACCTCAAAGCAGACAAGCCCACACACACCAGCTTCTAACAAAGCTAAACAGTACGCTACTCTGTAACACAACAGATGTATCTAGAATTATCACTGGCATCCCTGCCTTAGTCTCACTGGTGGGCTTGGCCCCTCACAGGAGTGCAGCAGGTAAAGACTTACCCCATGCCCTGGGCTGAAAACCTGCCCCCTCGTCTTCCAGAGCCCCCTAAAGGAGAAAACAACATGACCAAGCAGCCTCCACCACTGCACCCTCCTTTACATAATTGTTTCAAGCAAAGAACGCATCAATACTACCTGCAAAAACACGAGAACTGTACACACATCTGAACACTGGACCAATTTTATAAAAAAAAGCTAATTGTGCAGAAATGTATACACACAATTCAAGGTGGACCTCGCAACAGCTGAACTTACAACTCTGGCACCAGGCTTCAAAGGGAACATCAAAAGATGGATGACATTTCAGACGAGTCATGCCGGTTAAAAAGGTACCTCTGCCTCCTCTGCCTCTTCCTCGGCGACCGCGCTCTGTGCCCCGGCCAGAAGCTCCTCCCACCTTACTCCCATCTAGGCCATTCTCCTGACCTCGAACTAGTAAGGGGGGGGGGTGGGGGGCAGAAGATGCAATGATTCATCAAGAGGAAACGAGGGGTAAATACAATTAAACTAAAAAGGAGAGAGAATTCAATTGCAGAATTAGGAAACGTGGGAGACACAGCAAAAACAACGTTATATTAAACCTTTAGTCAGAAAAACGCTCCACGCCAGTCATGGGTCTGGATGGAATTGTGAGAGCTCAGTGTTGCCCGACAGCCTGAACGAAGCTGACAGAGCATCTGGTACCGGCTCTGATTTGGCTATGGCACACGCTGTACCTCCTTCAGAGCTACCACAGAAGCAACGAAAAGTCGACAAGTGTGCAGCCAATATGGGCAACTATGGAAAAACTGCTGGCAATTTAATTATTTAAACATGCAAGATACCAGTGGGTTTGGACACTTGTGGGACCTTGGGAAATCTACTTTTCCTCATAAACACAATAAAATATGTATTGCAGAGCAAAAACTAAATGCAGCTGAACGTTAATGAGGTCTGCAGAACAGACGACAAGATGAGTTCCCAGAGTCCAACAAACTACGGGGCTTCTGATTGGCCACTACACTCCAGGATACTGCGGCTGAGCATATGCGCCGAGGAGGTTCGAACACTCACACTCACGCCCCCTGCTGGCACCGCGGCCCCTGCGCGGAGCTCCTCCTCTGCGCCGTGCCACATCCCTCTCTCCTCCTCGCTCCCTATTCTCCTTCCCTTCTTCTCCCACGTCCATATGCGCATTCTCCTTCTGCCCAGACACGCCTTTCTTCTTTCCCACCATCTCCCATGAGTCCTGACACAAGAGGGGGAATCGGAGATCGGATTGAATCACGATACGTAAAAACAATTCATAACAGAGGAAATGCAGCAAGCAAATAGAGCAGCCACCACAGCAGCAGATCAACCCCACTTACTACTTAACGTAAAGCTCCATTCACACAACACCCATTTCCCCAAACAGTACTGGCCATCTACAGGCACACAACACAACAACCATCTTGTACGCTCGTCGTTCTGGATCCACCATTTGCTACTACGACGTCGGTCCCCATAGAAGCTGAACGGCTTCGCCTTTCACCGCGACTCGCTGAAATCCAGATGACCGCGGTCACGGTGACACTCACCGTGTCCGGGCTGCCCTCCAGCAGCACGTTGATGGCTCTGTTGACGTCGCCATTGCAGTCATGGAGCGCAATCATGGACTCGTCCTGGTCCTTGCCTGTGATGTCAATCAGCTGATGTAATGGGAGGTGGAAATACTGGAATTAGGACACTACCGGATGATAGGTGCAAAACTTTAAAGGGGGGGAGTTAACAGTATGCAGGAAGGAACATGGAGAGGGCATCACTGTCCCTGAGACAGGGATAAACAACCCCGTGTCTGTCTGGGCACACGACTTACACCTTCCCAACTCAAACACATGTGCAGGCACCCCCTGGAAATGCGAACTCAAGGAAGCAAGACTTACGGATGCAAGGTCTACACTATTATGTAGCGATACATCAAACAGCCCTGTAACATACAGAGATTGTATGATAGCTGCCGTGAAGAAGAGCACTAAAGACCAGAAGAGACATCCCCCACCTGTTTGACCTTCTCTTCAAAGTCTGCATCATTGTGGTCTGAGATCATCTGTGCGAGTCGGATCTGCTCTGCCGTGGCCTGCGGAGACAGAGAGCCGAGTCCAAACCGGGATTCCCAGACCTGGCATTCAAAGCGCAAATAGCCACCGCTAGTTCAGGAGGTGTTTCACAGAAACCCCATCCTGGGCAGATTCAGCTGGCAAGGCCAGGGAGCCGAAATGAAAGCGATACTGACAGTAACATCTTCCCGTGCTTAAACATAAAAGTATCAGTGTTCAGTGGGATGCTGTGTCTTTCACTTTTGCAGAGTGTTGATAACTGACCTATAAAACGCAGGTCAGATTCAAGGAATAGATAAAAGTACAAAAGGTCAATTTACTCCGGATGGATGTGCACTGGGCCCCGGAGGGGATGCCCATGTGTGAGTCATGTGACTGGCACTCTGGGATTACCTGTGGCCTCTGCTTGTGCTGTGTCTGGTTCTGCGTCTGCGTCTGCTCCCAGCTGCCGCGAGCTCGGCTGCTGCCCACTGACGTCATCATTTACAGTATATACAAATACAAGTATTTACAAAGGAAAAAACACCTGAAACAAACAGAACCGGGCATCAGTTACTGCAGCACTGCTCACTGTACAGTCAGGTACAATTCACCTCAATGACACTAAATACAAGTGCGCTAGACAGGCAACCACTTTCACAGGTACAATACAAAAATTTACTTTGTTAAACGCATCTTTATAAGTTGTTTAACGGTTCCTTTATCAGAATCTATACGCTTTCTGAATTTCTACAGGAATCAATGGAGAGAAGAGACTGAAAATATACCCTCGCATTTTCACATCTGCCTCACCCATACCCCACCTGTATCCCCATTACACAACGAGGGTCAGGAAGCTGGAACACTGCAGATTTATTACACCAACATTTAAAGTACGTGAGGAAAAGAAAACCTTCCTCTGCGTCACTAGTAAGTACAGGAGCAGCAAAGCAAAGTTAACATTTTACACAGAGTCGTGTGTGGTAAACCCGCGCAGACAGGGCAGTGACCCGGACCCAGAGCAGCCCGGTTACTCGCCGGCGGCGGGCTCTTTTCTGACCGCCCCCCGCCCCCCCCCCGCGACGCTTCAGGGTTACGGCTAAAGCCGTGGGGAGACACGGCTCCGCTGCACCCGCGTTTGTCACCCTCAACGCGGGCACTCTTTGTACTGCGCTAGCGAAAAACCTTGTAAACGCCTCGAAACCTATTTTTGCTAACTGGAGCCATTAAGCGCCACACTAAAAATAAAATACGGGGAGCTTTTAGCGGCCCTCCTACAGCGTTATTAAGTTAAACACTCCGCCGGCGGCACGGCTGAATTAATATCGCTGCTGTGGCAAATCGCCTGAAAAAGTGATCAACCGAACTCAGGTCACTAGCTGACTAACCACGTTAATATCAATTTCCGTAAACCCCGATTGCATAAACGTAAAAAAAACAACTTGGGCAAGCGCTAACAAGGAAACGTTTAATTTCGTTTAAATATGTAATTACACACGCCTTTGGGACCATACGTTCAGCAGACAGACATCCCCTTAAGTAATTAGCAACTCTTTCTCCTATTCACCATTCTGTGGTACGACATACACGACCGATTTCTCATAGTTCCCTTTCCCCTTAAACACGCCTCTCTACACGATTCTGTGCTTCTGTTAAAATTACCACAACAGATGATACACATATGCATTGGTATACCACGTTATTCGCTTCACCAAATCGCCACTGCCATCAAAGCACGTAGGAAGCGACCTCATGGCCGGTTGGTTAAAGCAAACAGATCCATCCCGGCAACTTAGTCAGTCAAATATTTTACCCGTTTTCAAAGAAAATATACACAAAATGTATAATCCGCCGGTTAAAATCGCATTCTATTGTCAAATAATTCCCATGACTCCGTAGCATATCGACTCTTCCCATAAATGCATTAGCATCCATATAATACGATCAGCATCCCCAGGCACCAGTAAGCTCAACCGGCGCAGAGGGACATACTCTACACCGAGGCCCTTAGTAGGCCAGCAGGCCCAGAATAAGTACAATAAATACCAGACGATAAAGAAACCAAAAAACCGGTGGAACGAAAGAAATCATCATTTAATCGTGTTAAGTAGTCTTAATATACATATCCTAATCGTGTTTTAATATTACCGAACCACGTAAAACCTTATTAAAAACAGACAATACCGACTCACGCAGACAATAAGCGACAAGCCCGGAGTTTACCTGTTTCTCTTCCACACTGACACCCCGACACAGCCTCGTCACGTGGTTATGAGAACACATGGCGGCTTCAGTGGCGTCTCCTAGGTCATGTGATCGACCTCCGGGTAGAACCGCGCCGTCTCTGTGGTGTCTTCCTGTTCTGTGGTCGTTGACTACTGAAGGCTTTTTTGTGATATACACAACACACTTCCTTCTTCAGAAAAGCGCTGACTGTAAAAACGGTAAAATGTTTTTTCAGTCAGCCACAAACGGAAACGTAGGCGATTTCCGTAAACTACTTCAAAGACCTAGTTTTTCTAACGGACATTTAACTTATTTAGAGCTGCCGTCATATTTGTCATTACAGTTGTACACCCACAAACATATAAGAATACAGCAAAAATGAAAGCAAAACCTGTTGGCGGAAGTTGCTATCTAGTCTGCAATACAATTATGTGTTTTAATAATTTTGGAGAGTGGGAGAGGTATAAAACACGGGTACCATTATCTTGAAACCTAATCAATCTTGATTGCTGTACCTACCGTACCATGCTGCCACGTGTTTTATGCAACTGTCATATTCTCTTTCCTGTTGTGACTCATTGCAATATTACCTTTTATCCTTGTAAAATACTTAATGCAAATATATTTATAGCTATATTTTGCTTGTATTTAATCTTTTTATTGATTATTTTATTTCTTTGTTTTTCTTCTGCATTGTCACTGGTGTGGCATACCAGATTTTGTTGTTGTACGCTGTACGATGACAATAAAATTCTATTCCATTACATACCCCTTGTACCCCCTGTACTTTATTTCAGGGGTGCTAACTGATCCTGTACTCTGACCTCAAAAACTTGCTCTCATGTGTATTTCTGTGTGTCTCGTGGAGAGCCCAATTTCCCCAGATGGATGAGTACACTATTCCACACGGTGTGCAGAGTTATTAGGCAAGAACTATTCTTGCAGATCATTTTCTACAAAACCTAGGCAGTTATAAAAGTGAATTCAGTAGTTTTCTTTTACTCTAAGTCAATTTATTTAGAGAGAAGACAGCCTGTCACAAACAAAAATTTAATAAAAGTTTACAAAACTATCAGGCAATCAGAAACTGGATTTTTCTCTCTTCACCATCAACATAATAATAACAGTTTCAAGTTATTCAGTCTATATAAGGAATAACAAACTATTGGCCATTCTATACAGTCCACTTTACCAAGTTTAATTAACGTCCTGTATAGCCACATTTCTTGTCAATGACCGTCATGAGCCTGTTGTCCATTGAACCCATCAGATTTTTGGTCTGGTCATATCCTATATTAGCTCAGATGATGTTGGTGTAAAAAGTATTCTGCTTGCCACTTTAGTTAATCTCATGCTTTAGTAAATCCCAATGTTTCTCAATGGCATTTAAGTCAGGTGATGAAGGGAACCAGGTCTTAATTCAGTAATTTTTCAAGTTTTTCTTGGCCAATCTATGAAATTCTTTGATGTATGGGAAAGAGGCATTGTCCTGCATGAATATCATAACCTTTTTCAAAGCTGCTGACTTCTTTTTTACCAGTGTTTGTACATTCTAGAAATTCGACGTAGATCTTGGAGTTAATTTTTACGCCATCCGCAAGACGGAAAGGTCTTGCCGGCCCCTGGAGGATGGGCTCCCCCTTTGAGTCTGGTCCCTCCCAAGGTTTCTTCCTTCTCGGGAGATTTTCCTTGCCACTGTCGCCTCTGGCTTACTCTCTGGGGGCTTTGGGTGGGGATGCTGTAAAGCGCTTTGGGACAATGTAATGTTGTGATTAATGCGCTATACAAAAATAAATTTGTTGTTGTTGTTACAAGTTCATCACTGTTAACTGCAGCCCAAACCATCACTCCTTTACTGCTTTGCTGGTGCTTGAAGCAGGCGTCCATCCATGGGGCATCTATCTGCTCCATCAAGAGTCACTTTAATCTCACCTGTGCACAAAACCTTTGTAACATCAGTCTTCAAACGTGTCCATGCCCATTCATGCCCATGAAATTTTTGCTTGTGTGTCTTATTGAATGGAGGTCATGTCTTAGCCCATTTTTGCAGTGATAATCATTTGCCTAATACTTCAGCACATTATGGAATCCATGGTCTCCTAATTAACAGAATAACAGAAAGTACTCAGACCAAATAGTAAGCATGGTCTATTTTTAAACAGTCCGTTCTTAACTGGAGATTCATCTCGACTGAAAATATTGATCTGAAGAAAAGATGCAAGTACAATACACACTTGCCTAATAATTCTGTATGCAGTGTATTGTATATTTGAAACATTGATACTAGTGGCCTGTAGCTTGCAATGTAATCTTTCTGGAAGAACTTCCTCATATATTATTGGCATCATTATCACAGCTTGGTAGCATCTTATCAGTCCTTTATACTATAAATGGCTGAAATAGGCCACATAAGAAAAAAATATACCTTGCACATTTATGGAACTGCCATTAAGTCATTCAAGTCTTTGAGTTACTTTGGTGATGTTTTTCCATGGACCTCTGAGTAGGTTTTCTGGTTATCAATATTATCAGTTACGTTTGGCGCTTCAACTGATCAGATTCAGAATCAGGTTTATTGGTTAAGTGTGTGTGTGGCACACACAAGGAATTTGGATTCAATTCCAAGAACACTAAACATGCATTTAGCTGTTGTCATCCAATTCCTGACCTGTTACTCAAGCAATCAATCAAGTTCAAGATGTTGATTTTTAATACTAAGAAGCAAGTCAGTCTGAGCTGTAATATTTACAAAGCATTATCAACCGCAGCCAGACTGCTTCACTCAGCAACCGCTGGGCATCTAATAATTCAACTTCCTGGAATAAACCCTCCAGAGGTTTCGCTGTCCTCTACTTTTATCTGCCGACTACTTTTATCTTAATATAGTGCATTTCCCAACACAGTCACCACAAGGCATCTACGACATAGCAAAAGAACAAGTACACTAGACATAGCTGCAGTCACTGGTTCAATATAGTAATGAAATACGGAGAGATGTGCTTCAAACATTAACCTCCACAGACACGCTTTCCACTCCATTGTTCCACATACACAATCTGAATTTCCCTTCACAATTATATTACCCGTTCTTCACTAGAACAGAAAATCAATAACAACTATTGTCTGCTGCCCTTTCAGGAAGACCAATCAACCACGCGACCCTGCTTGCAGGAAGTCACACTTACTGTAATGTACTGCGCCGTACTGTAGATGGCAGAAACGCGCTTCCGGGTATTCAAGCTGCCCTTCGACAGCGCAGAAGAAGAAGGAACTGGAAATCCGGCCAGGTCACGTGAGAGCTCTTAGCTACGGAAGAAAACAACCGCTTTACAGTAGCGGTTGCTGTTTTTAATAAGTAAACGTTTCTTTGTGATTTAGGGTGAATATTGCGCAGGCCGAAGGGGGAGAACGAATGCAAAAGACGTTTTATATTACTTTAGGTTTTCAAACATGGTTTCGGGTCCGCCGCTCTCAGGAGTGAACGTAGTGCTGGTAATGGCCTACGGAAGTCTGGTATGTTTTAAAATTGTTTCATCTAAAAGGCTTAGCAAGTATTCATATTTTGTTTGGAAATTTGTTTGTGTAATTATTTGGCTAATTGCAAGCCGTCAGTGAAAATATTTTAAAGTTGCGCGTAATGGTGCAGCTTAGGATTGAATACAGCATTGCGCTTTTAAAGCCAATATAAATGTAATTTATTACATAACCTAACGTCTTATTTAAGTTCGCAGCCGGTTTTTCTCGGGTCACTAATCGTATAATAAATGTTTTAGTCAGGAAGGCAAAGTACTGCGATGATTCGTGGTAAAGACAGACTTTGCTGGTGCATCTAATGCTGGGACCATAGGGTTAATGTCACGGACTCAAGCTTCTTTATCCCTGAATGCAGGTATTTGTGTTACTGTTCATCTTTGTGAAAAGACAAATCGTGAGGTTCGCCATGAAATCTCGACGAGGACCCCACGTACCGCTTGGACATAACGCCCCCAAGGTGGGTTTGATATGCCCATGTCACCTCAGTGCCCCTCTTCCAGGGATGGGAATCGCGGCTCCTTGAAGGGAGCTCCAGCCTATGGCTCCGTTACTTTTCGAGACATAACTTTTTTCTTAGGGGGTTACTAGGTTTGTCTGCGAAATAATCACTAGGATAATGATAGAGTAAGATTTGGATAAGATTCAGTCTTGGACGTCCATCCAATATACAGTGGTGCCTGCGGTTCACGAACACAATCCGTTCCAGGAAAGTGGTCATGAACCAATTTGTACGCGAACCAAGGCAATTTCCCCCCTAAAAAAGCATTGAAATTCGATCAATTCGTTCACAAGCCTACCAAATAATATTTTTTGTTCATTCATTTTCTGGTTTTTATAGTAAAAACTTTAAAGAAAAACACAATATAATGTGGCGACGGGCGGACCGAGGCATCGCGGGAGCGGAGAGAGAGTGAAGACTTGCTTGCCAGGGAAATCAGGCTCTTGATTAACAGTCCTTAAGGAATGTAATGAGACAATGTCCAAGCAATCGGGAGACACGGCTCCGCTGCACCCGCGTCAGCTGACTGGCTCGTTGTTCACTTAAAGGGGAGTGGAGTGGATTTAGGGCAGGCAATGAAATTAGGGTACGACGATAAAAAAGAACGACTCTGAAGTACGACTCGGTTCATTTTGTTCGTACCAAAGAGCCATTGAAACTGATTGAATCATTTGCAAGCATATCATCAGTACTCTGTTGCGAATGCAGACTGATGATTGCTCTGTGCTCACCCCCAGGACATGAAAGAAGAGATTGAATCACGCCTGTCCAAAGTGCATGCCATCCGTTACGAGCCTCGGCTGCTCTCCGAACAGGACGACCGGCTGAGGAACAGAGCTCAGAATGGTGAGTGACCTTAGTGGCAAACAAATTCCTACAGGATGAAGTCTTAGGCAAAGAAAATGTTTAAAGCTGTTTGTCTTGGTAGTATGTGTACATTTGCTCAGGAAAAAATACTGTAGCACCGGCGGGGCGCATGTCCCAGCATGCCCCGCGTGCAGTTGTAAATAGTCCTTGTGTTGTTGCTGTTATTGTTAATGGTTAATTCCTTATTGTTGCACGTGTGTTTACTTGTGTCTTGTGTGTACCCGGTCTGATCCACATGTGTAATTAGCGTCTGTAAATCCCCCACCGTGTATGCGTCTTACAGTTCGGCGTCTGGCAACCTTGTGTTTCGTATTGGTAATTGGTTCGGTGCTCGTTGGTTGCCGGATGTAGTCCTTTTTCAGGACTTCTAATAAAGAGCGTGTTTTCTCCGGTAAGCAAGTCTCCTTGTCTCTCTGCTGTCGCAATACTAATATTTGAATATATGCAGATTAGCAGTAACGCAATAACAAATAAACAGGAATTTCTAATATACTCTAAAAACAATTACTGACATCCTGTTGTCTAGAAGAACTCCTCTTTAGTTTCCAAACCTTACCTCAGAGCTACCCTAGCTATTCCATATATTAGTTAAATTTCACTGCCGCGTCACATAATGATCTTAATCAGTTAAATAACTCAATAAGGTATTGATTAGCCAAACACGGTTAAAAAATAATGCATGGGTGTACTGGATGATCGCTGCAAATACTGGGGTGACTTTAGGGGAGGTTTTCATATGTTTAAGTTGACACACCTTGGCAGTTGTAATACATTTTTAAACCAACATGAAGATGATTTTTTTTTTTGACTGCCTAAGGCTTTTACATAGTACTGGACATAAATATACATTCTGTACATATTTGCTCACCATTGTTGCTAACTTGCAGTGAGCCGACAGCTTGGATTTTACAACTAGTCGTTTTCTGGTGTAAAGATCTGTTAGGTTGAGGGAGAATGTCCTGAGGTGAATAGCATACACAGAGATATAATTACATGTTGTGCTTGAGTTTTTATGAGAATGGATTGTAATTCCTGCCAAAGTCACCAACACCAGCTTCCCGAGTGACATCTTTATTACATCGTAATGCTTCATTGGAATGTGCAGGAATGTTTTGTGTACTGTACTGTATACTGTGTACTCTTTAAATTAGTTTGCACTATGTTTACTTGTTTGCACTGTGTGTAAATAAAGTGCAAGATTATTCAAGATTATTGAGAGGGATGTTTCAAAATCTGTGCTGCAGTAATGACTTTAGTGAAGGTTTATAGCCCATGCATGATCTGTTGCGTAACTATACTGATCATGTTACACATTAAAGTGTTTTATATACCTGCTCAGTTATGCTTATGTGTTATGTGTCTGCAGGTTGTTATAACTATCTGTACAGAATGATGACCCTTGATGCTATCAGAGACTCAGGTAAGATTTACTGCCTTTGTTAAATGTCTGCCTATTCATCACATAAGTGCTTGTGTTTCAAATCACATCATTGTCAGAAAGTTCCCAAGAATGAAGTAATAGCCAGTTTTGTACCTATTTTCCTTCTGGCACATTTTTTTGTATACTTTTCTGTTCTGCTAGTTTTAGATTGGTTGGCTTTTGAGGACTTCTCTATAATTAGACTTCTGCATTTTAGTCACGCGATGAATACATTCTCTCAAAGCCCTATAGACTTTAATGGTTTAAAGAAACCATTGGAAAATACTGCAGTGTTTTTTTTTTTGTAATCAGAGATTCTTAGGGTGCACCTGAAATTACATACTTGTTTGCTAGGTGGTAGGTGATATATAGTATGCGACATGAGCAGTATGTCTGAATCCTCAGTATGGATTAAATAATAGGTGAACAGTACCCAGGTGACATACTACATTCTGTAAAATTATGAAGTGTACAGCCAATGCTACGCTATCCCATAAGACCACTGGAACAACAAGGAAAGTCACTTGCTCTGAAATTTGTGTTAATATGGTGGAGGAAGTGCAAATCTCTGTACAAATTTAAGTAGATAGCAATACACAGATACATTTTTTGACTCGAATGAATGAATGTTTTTAACTTTCGTGTGGGTCAAGCTATGTTATTGGTGCATGTCTGGGTCAGGCAGTATGCAAAATGGTGACTGCAGTACAGCTCTGGAAAAAATTAAGACCACAGCACAATTTTTTTTGTTTCACTCATTTCTCAATTTATGGGTGTGCATCTGTCAATAAACTGTATCTTGGTCCTTCTCTGTTTCTCATTACTGAAGGGCTTCTTCCTCGCTTTATGGGACTTCAGTCCTGCTTCTAGGAACCTGATACGATCCTGTCCTAGCAGTGCACTTCACACCTGCACTTAATGTGTCCCGTTCCTTTTGAAGGTCACTTGATGTCATCCTCCAGTTCATGAGAAACTGTCGGATAATCGGATGGTCATCTTTGCCATTAGAAAGTTGCCCTCTACCTGACTGGTTTCTGGTTGTTCCCACGGTCTCCTGTTTCACTTTGTTCTTCTGTACTGCTGTCTTAGAAATTTTGAGCCTGGAAGTAGCCTGCTGCTCAATGTAGCCTCTGCTAGCAGAACCACAATTAAATTATGATTTAAAAATGCAGATTTTTTTTTTTTGTATGAAGTGGTCTAATTTCTTCCCCCCAGGGCTGTATGTCTGAGTGCATGTATACTGCTGTCATGCATGCCTACAGTACATACTGCATTAATGTTCAAGTAGTTAGCTTTTAACAAAACTCAAAACTCAGTTTGTACTGTGTAAGTATGCAGTTTCAGATGCACTCTTAGTCTACCTGCAGTATCCTTCTCTGCTCCTCTTGCAGACATCCCATTCCAGGAGATGGGTCGCAGCCACAGTGCAGTCACAGGCTGCAGTTTCCGCAGCTGGCTGCTGGAGCTGCGCAGCTCCCACTCAGCATTCAAGAACGGCCGCAGTGCTCTCATCGACAGGCTGCTGGAGGGATATGAGAGTGCGCGCCATGGGACAGGGGTCTGTTTCCCAGTTTGGGGGAGGCTATGGCTCTGCGTCAAGCCCCCATAGATTGCTGGAGTCTGTGTGTGGGTGTTTGTGCATGTGTGTGGGTCTATGTGTATGTGCGTGTGTATGGGTGTGTGTGCATATGTGTATGGGTGTGTGCGGGTGTGTTGTGACCTGTCTCTGCCTTTTGCAGGTGTTTGGAGAGGCTGAGTTTTTGAAATACCAGGAGTCTCTAAACGAACTGTCTGAAGTGTAAGTATTCCTGCTGCTGCCCGTAATGCACTGGGTTGCATCCTCAGCCCCTCATGACTGGCGACAAAGTTTGGTAACCAGTCTCAGTGCCTCTAGAAACTTACTAACTTTTACATATAAAAATTGAGAAATATGTGTTGAAAGTATTACTATTTTTAACAAAAACAACTGAGGGTGTTGTATAACTCAGCGGGTTAGGACTCTATGCCTGTGATCCAAAGGATCGAATCCCAGGGCTGGCAGTTTTGATGCCACCATTGAGTCCCCTGAGCAAGACCCTGACCCTGTGCTGTGACCCCCAAGCTTGGTCTTGTACATGTATCTGTGTGTCTTATGCAGAGCAAAATGGGAATCAAGTATCACAATTCCATTCTACATTCTATTATTCTATTACCCAATGCATTTCTTTCTATGCAGTACTACTGGGTGATGTTTTATTGACATAGTATTATGATTATAAACATTCATATTATCAGTCTGAATACCATGCATATTGTGGTATACCCTAAACACGTTTCCTTGCATAATGAACTTATGCACTATTTTTACACAAATTCCATCAAGATATGAGCCTGTTGATGTCATTCATCATTATACCTGTCACATGCTCCATAAGTACTATATCACAGTTGTGAAACACTTTAAAAATATTGTGATTTCAGTCTTAGGGAATATCATCCAGCCCTAGTCAAACTTGATCCCTGAAATAAACAAATAAACAATGCGGCACTTGGAGGAAAGTACATAGCGACAAAATGTACTGTCCACACATTGTAGTGTTACACCATAAGACAAAGTTTATTTTCATGTTTTATTAAAATTAATTTCAGTTTTCAGTCTGTTCAAATTGTCAACTTTTTTCGGCATCTGTTTATGGGCATTGAAGTAAAGACATAATGACGCATTGTATTGTGATAATTATCATTATCCATTGATAAAATTGATAAAGACCATATCACCTACTCCTACTTTTCACCCCCCCCCCCCAGTGTTAAAACTCATTCCAGCTCAACCAGTCTGAATCAGCAGCATCAGTCGGCAGCCAAGGACCTGACCAGCTCTCCCAGCCTGACTGGCCCCTCCACCATCCAGGTGACCTACCTGCCTTCTGGCCAGCGCAGCAAGAGGCCCAAGCACTTCCTGGAGCTCAAGAACTTCAAGGACAACTACAACACGCTGGAGAGCACGCTGTGAGAAGACGAGGGCGCAAGGATCAACAGATGCCACGCCGCTAGTTGCTAATGCCTTGCGGGGACCAGCAGAGACACGGAAGGCATGGATCTGAAATTCACTGAGCACGTGGTGGGTGTTTGGAGACGGCACAGTGGCGTGAGGTCAATTAGGGTAGATGTTCAGTCTCCTGGGCTAAACGAGGAACGTCCCATAGAATTCGACGTCCCAGGTGGTACGGAGCCTAGCCAGTGGCAAGCAGTGAAGAGTCTAAGCACTTTTATGGAGCATCGCTACCTGCCTTTTCGATATCCCCCCCCCCAACTCAGATGGGATGTTTCAAACACTGTGTGATATTGGAAACATAGAGGAGAGCGGAGGTTAAACGCCAGTGTCTGTGTTGTGGTCTGCATCGACTGTCTAACGTAGCACAACACGGCACTGACCCGTAAGCCGTAGATCATCGTATTGGCACCAGTAGATATGGATGATCTCGGATAAGTGCACTTCTTGAAAAACCTTGGGACCTCTGTACATACATGCAAGAATGTATTTTTAATTTTTTATGAAGCTGCTTGTGAGTGAGTGTGTGTGGTAGAGACCTGGGCAAAAAAGGTGTTTTGATGTTAAAAGTGCTACGTACTTTTTTTTTTCCTTTGGCAAAATTAAAAGTGCGTATACAGCAGAACACCAGGTTCCATGCTTTTTTTTTAAATTAATGCCAGATTAAAGATGTACAGATTTTTTGGAAGAGTTGTTTTTTACAGAGGAAAAAAGAACAACTATTAGTTGTTGGATCAGATCCGTTACCCTGGGGTCACGCTGGTTAATGGCTTTGTGAACGTCTGTAATAAACCGGTAGAGTTTCCATGTGCGTGCTGTAAGAAATCTTAAACTTGTTTCCTTTCTGGCTTAATTTAACAAACTCAAAGAAATGTAATGTTTTCAAAAAGCGATTGAAGTCTCATGATGTCATTCTGTTCATTCACAAATCAGTGAATCAAGGAGCCCTGCACAAATGAGGTTGCCCAAGCCTGAATGGCCAATGTAATTTTATGTAACTAAGCACAATATGTGATGAAATGTGTATATATAAATTTACCCAGCAATAAAATAGTTTTATGAAACATGAATGGAACCTCACTGCAATTGGGGATCCCTTCTGCTGGAGCAAAGACATTAAAGTAGAATACTTTGGAAGTTAATGCATTTGAATGAAACTTACTTTAATGGACTCGAAGGAACGCATTCACTGAAAAAGAATCACGATTTCAGGCTCTAACGGCTACGCAGATGACACCATTAAACCAATTTTAGATGCTATGCAGGAATTGACCACTAGATGGAAACCACCCAGTGTTCCAAATGATTGTATGCATCTGATGTGCTATTTACCATTAAAGAGCCAAACACATTATGATTTGATACTTGCTAATGCTTCTCTTGCTGAAAACAAGGCTGCTACCATGACCTGTTTGGTTCAGGATATAAAAATAAAACATTACTAATTGTTTCCATTAAGTGAAAGTAATTAGTGAAAAACATTTTACATTAACTTTATTTAAAAATTAGTACACAAAGCATGATTATATGCACACTGAACGGAACTGTTTCTAATATACTTACTTTCACATTATATATTAATCTGTGTATATGCCAAAGAAGTGCTTTTAGGTAAGCTCAAGTCTGCCAGATAGCTAATTTCTACCCAAAGCATGTTTCTGTGTAAACCAGAGAAACAGAGCTATATATGAAACAGTGAGGCAAGACCCTGGAATGAAAATAACATGTACAAGCAAAATACAACATATAGCTCACAGGACTGGAGTGCACACACACTTGAGGATCTTCGTATAAATATGTGTTCAAAACGGTCATTCTTCATAATCGTGGTATGTCCGGTCAGTGACTTCACAGTGTTCAGTGAACTGGACTCATTTTGAGTTTAGCTTGTGTGATCGCTGAACGATATCCCCTATATAATGGTGTTGTGCCAAACACAAATACCTCCTTCTACCCAAAGACTCACAATTAACATTACATAATAAATAGAAATGCAAGGACACAAACCCAGGACTCACAGTCAATATTAACAGATTTACAACTGAGGCTAAGCCACCATTATCACCTTCGTGCAGAGGAAACCCTTGCAGAACCAGAAAACTGTTTTCATTGGTGATTTAAACAGATCAAAGGATTGTGGGTTACTGGATAAAATGTTCAGCCAATAAGGGAGAGTGTTAACCTTGTTAAATGCATATCTTTTTCGAGTGTGACTACCAAGCCAAGGCACCGTATGGCTGGCATTCCCGGCTTACAGAGCAGGGTGTACACAATGATAATGTCACATGACACATCTGCTATTGGTTCCGGCACAGACTAGATGACCTGATTAAACTGAATCCGATACATGCGAACCAGTTTCAAATAGCGCTGCCTTTGTGTCAAGCATGCAAAACATCTTGTTCCTTCAAACGTACCCGAATGCTCACGTCAGTTTCCCCACATTTTAAACAAATCTAGCCCATACTCTTTGACCACAAGTACAAGAATAACCCCTGGTCCCGGAAGACAGCCAGTATCTGAGATCAAAACAAACGATAAATCTCCTTCATTCTTTCAGTTCAATGGATTTCAAAGCATCTCTTTCTGTTCTCTTCTACTATTACAGTGAGTATATAAATGATGTCCATTGACTGGAGGAAATTATCGTAGTTAATTTTCTCCTGTCGCCAATTTGGATCCAAAACATTAAATATAAAATTTAACTGAGTCTAAACTGACCCATGTCTAGAAACACTGAACTCTGACAGGAAATGGGATCATATCTGATGTGACATTCTACCAAGATTTATAAATTAGTAGCAGAAGGTGTGCACGGCAACTTGTGTAGCTGTATCGAGTGTGTAGCTCTGAAACCAGCTGGCCACCAGCACCGCTGGCTTGCGTAACTTGTGTTTGTGGTGACAATGTGGTGTTTGTCCCTCCTGATAGCTGCTCACGACTTGATCTCGATGACTTTGATGAAAGGTAGGGTCTTGCTGCTTTGCGTCGAGGGCTGGAATTGCTTGCTGCGGACAGAATTCGGATCGCATGAGTATGACAATGGAGAACTGGGGGCCCCACACACCTTGGGTAAGGGCTGGGTCCATGGAATGCCTTCCTTAGGACCGCAGCCACCTTTTCAACAGCTCCTTTGCTCACCCGATTTAGTCACTTTAGCCATTTTCTACGAACAGTAATCCTTCTGTATTGTAAGTTAATGGCAGTTATTAAGCGAACAAGCTAAAGAGATACATATGTCACAGAGATACACTTTCAATGCAGCAAAAGTCATTCTCCGCCACTCCTATGTCGCCTGGCCACCCACATACACCCGACTGTGCGTCTCGCCCAAATCGCATCCGTTGGACACACCTGCAGGTACCGGTATCATGTGTCCGTGCGGATAAACGACAGAGAGACACCCGCTGACGGAGTTTTCAAGGCCGACGCTGCACTTGCTTGGCAAGATCAGGGACCCGCAACTCACCTGTAGACTATCTGTGAGTTGTGCTCCGGTGGTAGGTAGGAGGCGGGCCCCTGGCCCCCCAGGAAGTAATCCATCTGGTCCCGCATTTCTTTGTTCTGCAGGATAGAAAGGATCGACAGAGTTCCCTGACATTGTGCAAAACGGAATGGAAAAATAAACGAGAAGCTGACAATGGAAAAGCATGAAAAAGCAAACAAATGCAGGTAAGAGAGACACACAAGGGCAGGGGGCTGACCTCCGCCTCCAGATAGGCCACCTTCTCCTCCAGGTCCCGGATCACGCGGTCCCGTTCCTGGATCACCGTGCGCGAGTTCTGCAGCTGCGGATAGCCACATGCACGCTCACAGAGATCCTGCTTTCTCACTGTTTACATATCCGCAGAATTCATTTCTTTAATAGTTTCACTACTTTTATATACCGTGTACTCCATATTATCTGCGAATGCATTAGTCTGGGAATTCAGTATCGTAACCCCATTGTGTGGGACACAATGACTGTAATGACAGCCTTTAGAATGGGCAGCGCTGGCACAGCGGCGGCGGGAACCGGTCGCCCTGCCCTCACCTGCTCGATCATGTGCCGCACTTTCCTCTGCTGGCACTTCAGCATGTCGTCCAGGTGGTGGTTCTTCTCCTTGAGAATGGCCACCTCCTTCTCCAGCTCCTCAGACCTGAAGTACAGACCCAAGCTCTTAGTCCCAGTCCTCCTCCTGACACTTTTAACCTCCACTGGGGTAAGATTCACTTACATGGCAGGTTTATTACCAAACGTTATATAGATTATCATTATAAATTAGTATTTTCTTAGATAATGCGGTAATACTTAAAGCAGTCATGTATAATGTATTATAGATACCTTCATAATGCATTATAAGGCATTGATAAAGTATTATAAACAGTATTACAAGTAACATGATAAAAATTGTAATTGTAATGAATATGGACCTAAAGATTAACCAGTTCATACAAATGGAAAATCTGACAATATGAAACACCTTTTTTCAAAAGGTACAACATCTGGACCCCAGATTCTGAATGCCCCACCCTAACCCTAACACTCGTAGAGGGCGGCCTGACCTCTTATTCTTGCCGCACTGGCCCTCCTTGTAAGAACGCATCTGCAGCAGCTGTTCCTCGCTGGCCTTCATCTTCTCCTGCAGGGCGGCGCTCTCGGCCTCCATGCCGCGCAACAGCCGCTGCAGGTCCTCGACTTGCCGGTCCCTCTCCTCGAGACCCCGCTCGGCCCGGCACAGGCGCTCCGTCTGCTGGCCCAGCTGCTGCTGGTACCGGAGGCTCTCGTCCTAGCGGGCAGGAAGCGGCATTGCCGTGAGCGGCAGCGCACACGCACACGCACACGCACACGCAC